CATTCTGGGAAAACAGTTTGAACAAATAATTCAGTTCTGTTTGATATGTTTCGTTGTCCGAGCAGTGGGTTCTTGCTCGGTTAAGGAGGCTGTTAACGGCACTCCGTTTGTGAGAGATCGGGTGATTGCTCTCGTAATGCAGAAAATCTTACGGACGATGAACGTTTCACAATCCGGAATAGCACTGTACATGCCTTAAAGAACCGAAATCCATTTTCAGTACTATCACACGAGGAAAGGAAAGCACTTAAAACATTAAAAAGTGACAAAGGCATTGTCATACTCCCTGCGGACAAAGGTGGGTCAACTGCGATTTTAAACAAAGCAGACTACAATGAAAAGATGTTAGCATTATTAAAGGGTAGATCAACATACAAACCTCTTACCACGGACCCTACTAAAGCGCAGAATACGGCCATTGAAAAAGTTCTAAAACGTCTTACAGGAAAGAAGCAAATATCAGGAGATATTGCCAAATCCTTACGACAAACTGAACCAGTCATTGCTAAGATCTATGGACTACCCAAGATTCACAAACCTGAAGTACCACTGCGACCGATAGTATCGTTAATCGGTGCACCTAATTACAAGATTTCTAAATGGCTAGTCCACAAACTTTATCCGTTGACAAAGGATTGTGAAACATCAACCAATAATTCAGCAGAATTTCTGGACAAATTGCAAGGACTGAGAATCACAGCAGATGAAATAATGGTATCCTTCGATGTCGTTTCTCTGTTCACCTCCATACCATTGGATTTAGCAAGACAATGTACAGAGGAACGTCTCCGGTACTACGACATGGATATCCCTATATCTGCTTTGCTTGAACTCTTAGACCTTTGTCTAGAAAAGAACTTTTCATTTGCGCAGGACTACTATCAACAACTAAAGGGAGCCCCTATGGGATCACCCATCTCTGGTTTTCGCGCAGAAGTCACGATGCAGAAATTAGAGGCCATCGCCTTACCACTAGTTAACCCCAAATGATGGGTACGATATGTTGATGACACGTTTGTCATTGTTAAAAGTGATCAACTGGAAATACTC